CATTCCTCTTCCTTCTAGTGATTGACTGGATTATGAAGAATTCGACATCTGAAGGGAAATACGGGATACAATGGACTTCTCAGAATCAATTAGATGATTTGGACTTCGCAGATGACCTAGCCCTCCTCTCTCATACACACGACCAAATGCAGATGAAGACAGCAAATGTAGCAGCAGCCTCCGCATTGATAGGCCTCCACATTCACAAAGGAAAAAGCAAGATTCTCAAATGCAACACGGAGAACACCAATCAAATCAATCACACTTGATGGCGAAACTCTGGAAGAGGTGGGAACATTCAAGTACCTGGGGAGCATCGTTGATAAACAAGGAGGATCGGATGCAGATATAAATGCGAGGATTGGCAAAGCAAGGACAGCATTTCTACAATTGAAGAACATATGGAACTCAAAACAACTCTCAACCAATTTCAAGGTCAGAATCTTTAATGCGAACTTCAAGACAGTCCTGGAGCTGAAACGTGGAGAACTACTACGACCATCACCAGGAAGGTACAAGTATTTATAAATAGTTGTCTACGCTAAATACTCAACATCCATTGGCCGGATACTATCAGCAACAGCGTTTTATTGGAGAGGACAAACCAGTTTCCAGCTGAAGAAGAAATTAGGAAGAGACGTTGGAAGTGGATCGGACATACATTAAGGAAATCGCCAATGTACATTACAAGGCAATCCCTAACTTGGAATCCGGAAGGGAAGTGGAAAAGAGGAAGGCCAAAGAACACAGTACGCCGGGAAGTAGAAGCAGATATGAAAAAGATGAATAGCAACTGGAAAGAACTGGAAAGGAAGGCTCAGGACAGAGTTGGATGGAGAATGCTGGTAAGCAGCCTATGCTCCTCGACGAGGGGTAACATGCGTTTTTCCATCTTTGGCTCGTGTTTTTTTCCTTACGTTGGTCTCTCAATTTTACCACGTCGTTTTATTAGGCGTAGACTTAGTGGTTGGCACTCAATGAGAATAATATGAAAACACAAAAAATAAGTGAAGCCTAAAGTGACGAATTACATGTAAATCTACGTACTGTATATTTCTCTTATTTTCTCAAAACCAACAAACATTCTACATTATTCTTCAACTTTTCTTTCACAATGTGAATCCTGTTTACTCGTCACCACCCATCAAACATGGAGTTCCTTTCCCGTGATTTGTATGAAGACGTCCGTCGACTTGTTGCTGTTCTATTTAATAATACACGTAACCTAACCTGTCCTTTTACAAGCAACTATGTTTTATCAACACATGGTTGTCAATTGTGCCGCTACTCTTCTCTTTTACTTCTCGGTATCAGAGATTTTGTTAATGTAGGTGAATTTTTACCAGGTGTGCGCTCGCCAAGATAAAACGCATCATCCTCTTCTATCACCCTCAACATCCGATTTACAAGACTTTAGAATTACTTATTTAGAGATGTAAATGTAGTATTCTATATTCGGGTTAATCGGCAAACCACGCGCTCCTGGGGCCTAACGTGACCCTGTTGTTTTCTCACCAATAACTGAAATATCAGAGGTGGTATTGTATTCAGCCGAAAATCCTCAATGCTGAACATGATATGGCTGGGAAACCTTATATTCTACAATTAACACGAAGAGTGGTTCAACAATGAAGGAGGTGGGAATAATTAATTAAATTCAATCGGATGACATACTGCAGCCTTGCAGACAAGTCCATTCCGTATAACTTGTTTTTGTTCATAATAAGTATATCCTATCATCAGCCTAAATGCGTTCTTCTAACTTATGAGGCATCAGATTGTTAACTGTTACAATGCGATGAGTTAGTGTGGACAATGATGTGACTTCTACGTAAGATCTTAAAGATTAGGCAGTCACATCTTGATATATTTACAGTTTTGGTAGGAGGCCTATTGTTATAATAATACTAGTAAGGACTCAGACCATAAATTCTACATACTCACATTTCCAGTACCGCACTGGGGAATTTCAACGCTTCCAAAGATATGAATTTCGTCTCCTCCTTGCTGGCAGACAACTACAGTAAAACGTCTGACTGCAATAATCACACCAAGGTCAAACCCCTGTGCGATCGGTCTAGCTGCCTCGATGAACTGAAAGACCTCGAGCTTGGTACAGCTCGAGTCCAGTTCTGATTCCGATCTTTAATGATAATAATAATAATAATCATTTATTCTCAAATAACAGATTGTTACATGAGGCATGCCGGTTTACAGGCAAGATCAAATTGTTAAAGAAGTTACAATTTTCACTGTTGGAAATTACTCAGCTGGGTTGATATTTCATAAGATATGAATTTAAATAGATTTCGTAAGAAACATGTCAATATAACACTTGGCGCACTTTATGATGGTCGAGAATAGATACATGCGAAGTTGGGGGCTTTCAGAAGTTTCGAACTTATATCCCTCCGGAATATCTGAGGCTTTAATAAAGGTGTAGGACGAAGTCACTCGTGCCATATCTGTTATCGGTGGAGTATCTGCAGGAGGCTGAAAAAGGTGTAAGAAAAAGGAAGGACGAAAAGCAGAGCACACAATATTCATGGAGGAACAGTTAATGTATAACCATTTAGTCTATTTGTCTGTTACTGAAGTATTTATTAGGTAAGAGCATACTAATGTGTTAAAGAAAAATAAGTGTGGGCAAGGTATGAGTGGGTAAGGAACAGTATAAACGAAGGCAGTTCAGAAGAAAGTATGGAATTGTGTAATATTATTAACGACTTGAAAGACAAACTTAGCTTGGTGGCACGAAAACGATTCACTGGCGTCCAAGAGAACTTTACAAGAATAGAGGGATAAGTAGTGGAAAGTGAGAGAAAAGACTGTCAAAATGTCAAGCCATCGACATTTTGAAGCATCTGACAATAAAAAGTTATGCCCTCTAAGGAAATACGCTCTCAGTTGTACCCTCAGGTTTTTGTTTCGTGCTTACGACCACAGAATGCTAAGTCGTTAATTCGAACTACATGTAAAATGTAGCCAAGGAGAGCTCAACTTAATTCCGTGTAACCATTAAAATGGTTGCTCTGCTTGTTAGAAGGGGTGTGGGCCTCGTGACTTCCGAAGAATATTAGCTTTCACCATGAGGCTTCATAATTCTTCGTTCAACTGCCAGGGCAGAGTTTAAATGGTTTGGATTGTTTATTCTGGTTAGCCATTTTTAGTAAGGTTGTTTTGTAAGGGATGCAGTTGCTGACCCCATGCCCAACTCTCCCCCTTTACCCGGGTTTAGGACCGGCAACAGTCCTACAGGAGCTGCAGGTGGAGTTGAATAATGTCGAGAATTTACATAATTTTACAACTTAACTTGACGGCCCGGTCATTGCTACAAACCAGTAGCATCAAAAAGTTCAAAGCATTAACGGAAACTCAAGAAGTATTTCAAAGTTATGTTGAGATGATTCATAATACGAATGATAATAAGAACCTATATAGTACAGAAAACTGAATGAGTATTGTACAATTGTGTTATCCGTACAACATATTCACAGTACGTTCGATACCAGTACTTTATCGAAGGTTAGCAGCCCCAGTATTTCATAGTCAACATCAAAGACTGATATTCAAGAATCAGGAAGTATTGGACACCTGTTTCGTCCTAATATGGGACTCCGCAGTAACGCCCATCCAGAACTCCAGGTCTTTTGGCGGGCTTTTAATCTTTAGGCCGCTGATCGGGTAACATCAAATGGTTCATATATTGAACTTCAATCTGTTCGCAATTCCACCATTAAATAATAATGCCCAACCCTCCTCCTTTACCCAGGCTTGGAACCGGCAATAGCCCTAGATGTTCTATGGGCAGTGACATGATACCAGATAGTACAAAATAAAATTTGTTAAGGTTTCCAGATTTGATTTTTTTTTCTGCCTTTTTCCTCGCGTGTGTTGGTTTCAAAACACTTTTTTCCCCACTTCTTTTAGTGACAACCTAATTCAACGTAACTGTACACCTTCTGTAGGATTTAGTGGTTTTTAATACTTGTTTAGTGAGCTTATATTGCAGGTTTGGATTATCTTATTCATGATTATATAGCTTTTTTCATAATCGAACTCTTGGTCTTTCAGTTTTCTTTAACTCATACCACATTCAGAACCATAATCTGCCACAATTCAAGTTATAATACTTCAAGATGTCACGGGTATTCAGTGCTTGATAACGCTATTTGTAAACAACACATTTTCAATCGAGAAAACAAAACCCAGTCAAACTGAAAGTCAGAAAAGAAGGGGCTGGAAGGCGTATGTGAAAGATGGTCGATGCATAAAGAAGTATATGATCTAAGCTGACTGACCGCTATAAAGGTTGGGAAGCACGACTTACCCATTTGTGACCTGGTGCAGATTTTTGACCGAAGGCCTCCACCTAGGTTGTGTTTAATAAAACTAATAAGATCAGCATCCATATCTAAGGCTGAAAGAACTAATTATGCTGTTGTTTACCGCTACATACTTCTCAAGTAAACGTAAAAACTGGCTGTATCATGCATAAGCATAGTAAGCACCTTTGATAACGTTTCTTATTTTTGTCATTTTAACTAGGGTTGTTCACTAGCGGGTGAAAAGCTTGCGCAGAACTAATTCATTAATACTGTTGTACGTCTAGAATTCTAGTAATGAAGACAATGTGATGGCATATAACTTATTTGGATTTAGTTATATTTTACGCAATATCTAGTCAAGTTCGTAAATCAAGTGTTTAACAGACGACCATATAATATACGTGTTTATATAAATAAGAAACTTGCACTGTAGACTCCAACACTTTTCATGAGAGTTACTATCCACCTTACCACTCTGTACAGTCATCTTTCAACTGTTTCTAAGTGAGAAAATACATTGAGACGGAGCTTCGGAATATATATATATATATATATATATATATATATATATAATGCTTGAGAATACTTTTAGGTTATTGATCTGAAGCAATCGGTTTTAGCGCTTTTGATATAGTTGTCAATACTGAAGATGCGTCCGGACCAATCAAGATCATGGATGGATTACTAGCAGATTTCTGTTTATCAGCAACATGCAATTTGGAAACCATGAAATATTCAGGGAAGTCTTCACTCCCAAATATGAAAATTTACTCAAGTGTAAGTTTCATTATAACTGTCGTTCGTTAAGAAATCGTCGCAGTTAAATAAGATTTATGTGACTTAACTTTTGGTATGATATAACGTAAAATTCAACAAATATTTTTTTATCAACACAAATTTACAGGTAATTACAATAGTGACTAGATTTTAAATATATGATCTGGCATCCAGTAAAGACTATGAAAATCATTTCTTGCGAATCATTTTTACAAAAAGCCAAGAAAGTGACAGTTCGTTGATTTTTGCCATACGGTAAGGTCCTACCATGCCAGGCAAGTCGTTTGAAGAGCGGTGAGACTAAAAGCAGCAAACTCAAGGTCCGAAGGCGAAGTCGTACGGTTGACTGCACAGAGGTGTGACAGCAGTAAGGTGTTTCCTTCATAATCAATCTCCTTCTTCAATTCCTACTATTCCTTCTACCTTGACTTTCAACTCTAAACTTCCTCTCTCGGTTTCCTCCTCAAGTGTCACCATGGCCAACGATTCTTGTGCGCGAAACGCCGTCCCAGGTCTACTAAAACCTCGCTTCAAACTACACATTGGAGCCTTCAACGTACGTACCCTATGCCAAATCGGTTAACAGGCCTCCTTAGCTAAAACCCTAGAATCCCGTACCATTGATGTATGCTGTGTCTCCGAAACACGCATACAGGATCCTAGTGTTGTCATTCACTTGACCTCACCTCGCCAAAATGGACAGCCAACGAAATACACCCTTCGTGTATCTGGCGACCCGTTGGCTATTTCTCGTGAACTTGCAGGTGTAGGCATAGCACTAAGTACAAGAGCAGAACAGGCACTACTAGAATGGATCCCAGTTAACAGTCGCCTGTGTGCTGTCCGGCTAAATGGCTCCGTAAGAACTCGGAAGGATAGGGACACACGTCGTTGCCTTTTCATCGTTTCTGCCTACGTTCCCACTGACTGCAGCCATGATTAAGTGAAAGATGACTTTTACAGAAAACTCTCTGATCTTCTTCAGAAAGCTAAGCGCTCAGACATAGTGGTCATAGAGGGTGACTTTAATGCCTAATTAGGCAGCTTGAATCAAACTGAAAGACATCTAGGTGGGTGTTTTGGTATTCCGGCTCAACGAACCGATAATGGTGATCGTCTGTTGCAACTATGCTCAGACAATCGTTTATTTTTAGCAAACACTAACTTTAAACATAAGGAGAGACATCGTCTAACATGGCGATCACCTGCACCAAACCAACGATGGACTCAAATAGACCATATTGTCATCAGTCATCGTTGGAGAGGCTCAACAGAAGATTGTCGCTCGTATTGGAATACTTGTTTAGACTTGTTAAGACAATCTCGGAAAAAAAGACGGAACCCTTATTTGCTCTCAACCTAAACGTTTAAAACGATGGGCGGAACAATTTAAGGAGCAGTTTAGCTGGCTTTCAGCTACTGCACAACTACCGACTATTCCCAGAAAACCTGAATGGAACATTGAAGTAGGCCCCCTGACCCTACTTGATGTTCAAAAGGCTATAAGTAATCTGAAACGATGAAGAGCAGCTGGTCCTGATGGATTGGCTCCAGAAGTCTCTAAATGTGGTGGTCCAATTTTAGCGATTAGGTTGACTAATATTCTGGCTAAAATCTGGGAGACGGATGTAATCCCATCTGACTGGTCACAATCATTGAACGTCCCAATATATAAAAAGGGGTCAAAATCATCCTGTGATAACCATAGAGGGATTAGTCTGACTAACATAGCATCTAAAATACTAGCCTCAATAATTATCAGGCGCCTAACTAAGACTCGTGAACTGCAAACACGAGAAAATCAGACTGGCTTCAGACATGGTCGTGGCTGTGTCGACCACATATTCACCATTCGTCAAGTTTTAGAGCACAGACACGCTTATCGGTGCCCGACAGTGATAGTTTTTCTTTACTTGAAAGCAGCATTTGACTCTGTAGACCGAGAGGTTCTGTGGCAGTGTCTGTCATTGGAAGGTGTACCTGAGAAGTACATAAACCATGTGAAGGCTCTTTACTTGAACACTACCAGTCGAGTGAGAGCTTATGGCGAACTGTCATATGATTTTACAATCTCAAGTGGTGTCCGTCAAGGCTGTCCACTATCCCCATTTTTGTTTAACTTCATTATAGACCTGTTGCTGGAAATAACACTCTCTTCGACTGAATTTTTCAGGAACTGATCTTCTACCAGGAGGTTCACTTATCGACTTAGAATACGCAGATGACGTAGTCCTGTTTGGTGAAGACGCTGACAAAATGCAGAGTCTTCTGTTAGAACTGAGTAATAATGCCAGGATGTTTGGGATGCGTTTCTCTCAATCCAAATGTAAGTTGTTTCTCCAGGACTGGCCTGCGTCAACACCCGAACTAAGGATAGGGAGTGAAATAGTCGAACGCGTCGACAACTTTACTTATCTTGGAATTCTGATCAGCCCTAATGGGTTGGTGTCTGACGAAATCTCAGCACGGGTTCAAAAAGCTCGTTTGGCTTTTGCCAACTTACGTCACCTATGGCGAAGACGAGATATCCGTCTATCAATTAAGGGACGAGTATACTGCACAGCAGTTCGCTCTGTTCTATTTTACGGCTGTGAAACATGGCCATTAAGAGTAGAAGATACTCGTAGGTTACTAGTATTTGACCACAGATGCCTTAGAAATATTGTTCGCATCTGCTGGGATAACCGGGTAAGTAATAGTGAGTTTAGACGCGGGGTATCAGGGAATGATTGTAAATCAGTTGATTAGGTCATGAATCTTCATCGACTGAGATAGTTGGACCACGTGTTACGTATGCCTGAACACCGATTACCACGACAATCTATGATGACTAGTATTGTGGATGGTTGGAAGAGAGTTAGGGGCGGCTAAACCAAAACATGGCATCAGTGCTTGAAGTCACTAACTTCTAGTCTGAGCCATGTTAGCAGATGCAGACTACCTGGTTGGGGTCCGTGTGACTATCGTAACCAATGGTTGGAGACTGTAGGAGACATGGCTCAAAATCGATCACAATGGCGTAGGTGTATACACTCTTTACCTTCCCTTTAACCTTGAGATTGATATTGCTTCATAACGTTCTTCCTTCTCATACAAAATCCTTGTATACAATCTTTCTTTATGTACCACCACTAAATTAACTACTATGAATCCGGTGTTGATCTTGTTGTGCTAACGAGGTATGGCAATTTGGACCGATGCATAAATGTGCCTGGTCCAACGTTGTAGCTGACTGTAACGTAAGACCAGTGAATAACTATTTCAATCCGGTTCCGAACTCCTTCCAAGTGTGCACCTCACAGAAGATCGAGGAAACTATACACTGAGACCATCAATTTCGGACTCATTAGTTCACATCACTAGCTTCAGTCATTCGATGTTGAAATGCGATTATCATCCAGAATATCGCTGGTATTCGCCTCAATACTAACATGATTCAACCTCACAGGTTATCAACACTCAAGTTTTTTCAATGTTAGTTCCTACCGGGGATATCGTTATTATTAAAATAGTAAGCTAGTGGAAACTGCTCCATTTAAGTACGTTTTCATCATAAATGATGTTATTCAAGGAGTCCTAAACTAAGACAACAAAGTTACCCAGTGTTTTGACTTGTTTTGCTATAGTCAACGCTCATGAGATTTTGGCGTTTACTATGAAATCAGAAATTCACGAATAATCTAGGTACAACGGTGACGCACTTACTTGAAACATTATGAACACAAAAGTCAGAAACCACTAAAGTCTTAGCAAAACAACATGCTTGTAAAATTACATCTCGGTACTTGAAAATTGAGCAAACTAACAAACCAAAGACGACTGAAATCAATCCACAGGTTACCTAAATTGTAAACGGACCATAAAGGAGATCTGAGTAGTTAATCAGCACTCCCTAGTTTTTACTGGTCCTGTGTGATATCGTTCGATGTTAAAAACTGATATCGTGGTTATTTTTTGTTGAAAATCTGAATTTATGAACAACTTCACGAACACATCTTTTCGAAAGCATACCAAACGCCTCTACATTTCAGTTTCTTCACAAAGTATGATGTAAATGTCAGTGAAAACAAACATTACCACTCGTTTAATTACTGTTAATTAGTGAGTCTAATGAAAAATTGATAATATAAGCTTTGACAAAATCATGGAGATTGTGATTAATCAAACAGTTACTTGAAGTAGTAAAATACAGGTAAACTTAAGTTTTCTCCTTTTGATGAACAGCTTCTAGATGCATGCAAGAATGCACCTACGGTGAAAATGGAAGAAAACGCTAGTAAATTACTGCAAGTTTACTACATGGCAATGAGGCGTTCATCTGTTCGAGATCGAAAAACAGCTCCAGCATCCGCATTGCTGACATTGTGAGTTTCATTGATGCGGTTATCCGAAATCTATGAAGCGACTACTATTTTTTAGTTTAGCTTGGTTTCTAAGTTTATAAAGTCCGATTTTAGTTACAAGACACTGCTTTAAAACAATAGAATGCTAGGAACCAATTTTGACGATAAGGGAACTAAATTGGTGCTTGGACCACTGCACGAAAAATTTCCATGTTGTGGTTAAAACTTAGTGTTTATTAGGGCGAGATTGCAGAGACTTATCGGACACTCTAAAAACAAGAAGGTTAAAAAGGACAGCTTCATTTCAAACGATTTCTTATCAGCCTGTTTGTTTAGAGAAATATATGTGTTTGTGAGATGTAAACAACTGATAACCATGATAATTTAATAATAAGTTATATCATGCAAATAATAACAATAAATATTGTGCGACCTCCTCATATTTTGTTAGGAAAGATCTTTAAAACCAACCATCTGTTGAAATGTAGTTGGAGTCAGTTAATTAGAATGGTGTTCGGAAAAATGATATCGGGAAGAATTAAAAATTAAGAACTAAGCGAGACAAAAATAATTTGGAAACAGATAATGTCGGAAGCGAAAGTATAACAAACGAAAATTGTAGATTTAGATTTTAGACAAAGTAAAGATATATTTCTTCTGTACACAAATACTAGACCTGATCTCGTGAGTAGCTAAAGTATCTAATATTCAAGAGCATTGAAAACGAAGAGGTTTTGAGAGTTCGGACAAATTAGACAAATAATCTTAAAGTCACTAATGTGGGTTAGTTGTTAAAAGGTGGAATTTTCAGTGATTTTCATCATCTATATACTCTTCTGGAACGTGCTACTTTAAGGACATACTCTAGTTGTCAATCCAAATACAATTGCAATAAAGTCCGTTGTAAATTATAGATTCTCATGAAGATAAAATCGATACAAGTTAGTTCAATCATTTTAATCTCACACAGAAACTTTTCTACGGTTTAGTGTCATGAAAATGTACTTGTTATAGTGACAAAATTGTTTTCATTTTAGATTTAAGTTGGCTAAGAGTAATGCTAAAATTAACGGGCGCATTGTTGCGAACGAACTTGATGCTACTGTCGCAATTTATATCTACGACACTTTTATTTCAAATCAGACAGGTAGGTAGGTCTGTTAATTAATTTCACATATCAACAGTAGTAGGCGTATGTAGACCATAAATGTTAGGACTCTGATAAGGCTTTAGTTTCTTTAGAAATAATTCAGCTAGGACTAAACTAAGTATTAGAACCGAAAATCGTGTAGATTTCTCTCGCCTTATTGTTTTGAAGGATCAAAGAGGCCTTGTGCACTACAAATTGTGGTGGTAATCGTAAGTGATAAGAAACAATAGTTTGTAGACTTTTTGTTCACACTATTTACAGTTAAACCTAGCCGACGGTCGGGTGTACAAAAATAATGTAAATTAGTAGAAACTTAATTTAAAGACTATCTCGAAATAAATTAACAAACAGATGTCCCGGGTATATGTCAAAATTTCTTTCCTGAATCAAAGACTAATATATCCCATCCGGGTTTAAGTAGAAGTTAAACAGATCATCTGAAATTAAGTCATTCCGCGAAGTTAATCTAATTCATCTGTTTCTTATTGCCAAATAAGTGGTGACGGTTTCAAGATCTTTGTATTTATGATTTCAATAATTTCTTTGTGCTAGATAACAAGTTTTGCTGAAATTTAGATAACTATATCCATTTTATTGCTATTTTTATTGAAATTGGTGCTAAATATTTGAACTAGCATCGTTCAAGAAAAAGTGGACAGATGCATTTAGAATGGAACAAGTTTTTCATGGGTAGTTACGCTTCGAATTTTAACACCATATCTCCAATTAATATCAGCAAGGCCGTTCTGCATTAAAAATAGCGGTTTTGTAAATGCTAACTACTACTGCTTCAACTTGGTTTAACTATATTTTCCCAGCTATTAAACGTTTTTGATTGAAAGGAAAATGAAGTACAATGGTAAGTTCAAATCAAAATAACAATCTAACAAGGTGGGAGAAATGTTTAATAGTTCACATACTGAGCACAAGATACTAAAATACTTAATAGTTAGAATTAAAAAAGACGCAGTATACAGATAAACTAGTCGGTTCACGCATCATAGCATTTCATGACTGTAAGTTATATAAAAATTACTAAACACTGAATTATTGTTGTACATTATATATAAGGTAACCGTAAACTTCACAACACTAAAAGTATAAGAACCTCATTACGTAGAACAACGGATACAAGTTATTGTCGAAACGCCGAAACAAAATGTGAAGAAATATTGTCGGTAACATGTCTTAAGTGGAATGTCTGTCTTAAGTATTCATTTCCAGAATTTGAAATATGTTTTGACCAGGTATTTTCAGACAACAGGTAATCTACAAGTGTCATTCTAAAAACTCTAGGTACAAACTACCTTGGGTCGAAATCATTTCACTATATCACTGGAATGGAACAAGATTCAATGGAAGAACTGAATAACATCCTGGTATCAATAAACAAGCAACTGAAGGATTTAATCAATGTTGCCATGGATGAAATGTAACCAAGATTATTGTCTGTCGCGGTGCACGTTTTGCTAAAAAGTAGATTTATTCAATAGAGATTATTAATTTGGATATATAGTTGTAGAACCTGAAGAGAATTTATCGAAAAGAATATTCTTCGTTCAAATATTAGTTTTCCAATAGAGAATATTCTGATATGTTTCGTAAGACTACATTTGTGAGACGACTACGTTAGGTCCTTATCAATTTCGGAAGCTATCGTAGACATGTACATAGCACAACAAAAGGACTACGAAGTTATTGCCTGAAATTATTAGCTCCAATCCTTTATTTGCTGATCATAATTATGATATTTAATGACCGGAATAGAGTTGTGGAACCAAAACCAGAAAGTACTTTGGAAGGTTAGGAACTAAACAGCTGGTGACATCGTACCGGGATAGTATCAATCAGTGTTGAACAAAATTAAACAAATGATAGGCCGCATGTAGGATGGCATGAAACACATTATAACAACTGAAGACCTCCTAAAGAATATTTTATATTTCTCCTAAAGTGTAAAGAAATGGTTAGATAAGTTATGACACTCATCAGATCCCATAAATTGATTGCAACGCACTGTGTTTCAAATAATTATAATCATCAAATATTTCAAGTTGGTGTTTTACGTGAAAGCGAAAGTAAAATTTGAGTTACGCAATAAATCGAATGACCTATCAGCCGAATCGGTGGGATGACAGCACCCTTATGAAATGTTTCGAATTCCCACCTGATCGTCAAGAGGTTGTGAAATAATACTATCACCACTACAATCTAGTTTTGTACATGGTGTAGAACATCAACGTTGATGTTCTATGTCGAAATGGTTGGAGGGGCTACTAGAGTTAGACGAGAATGGTGACGAACCAACTAACGCTGAAGTCACACCTCACGACCAGCACCTTACGTGGATTGCCCCCATCGACGTAACAAGGGAGTATGGACGCTATGGAGACTGTACAACACAAAGGACGTTATTACAAGAATATATTAGTTAAGGTACAACCACGAAAGTACAGAAGCGAAAGTACGACCACTGCCGCGTGGGCCAGTCCATGGCGTATATTTTGTTGGTGCGCGTTGACTATCCTTGACCTTGACAGTGATCGATGATCTGTTCGATATTCAGTGACACTTCACCGACCCTACAATACTCCCCCTCCAGATTCAACGGCCGTTTGAATCGATACCAAACATGTTGGAAGTAGTCGCGCGACGGAAGTTGCCAGACGATTAATATGAATCCTCCGGGTATTGCCGAACTGTAAAAGAAATGGAAAGGAGGCTGCAGAAACTGATCGGGAAACTACGAATAACACAACAAGGACGTTGGTTGAATGTTAAGCGATCAACCATAGAAATAATAGAAAAAGAAACATGACATTTTAGAGTTTTATCAAGTCGCGTTGAAAAAGATAGCTCTGACAAGTGGTTGAGTTCCTCACATGAGAAACGTTAAGTTTGCCGCAAGAGTAGTGATGTCACAGTGATAGCACGATAAGTGTATTATCAATCGATGCCGGTGTTTGTATTGCCCTCGGCACAGAGTAGAAAGTCAGTAAGTGTCGTTGACAACTGTTCGTAAGCGTCGATTTCTGGTTATATCTATATTTAACAGACTAACTGTAAGTACAGAAGTATGACCGTGAAGATAAGTCTTGGTTTCCTTGTGCGAAGCTTCTGATCAACTTGCAGTCAGTTTGGAAAAACTGATAACTGCTGTGAAAATCAATATGGGTCGAAGAATACAGAGCGAGAGCGAAAGGTGGCACGATGAAATCTCTAAAAGATGATAAACGGTGAGTGCTGCACATGTGTTTGATGAGTGAACCGAAAAATGTCGAAAAGAACATAAGAAACCAAGAGTGTCACTCTGGACTCATGTCAATGATATCGGTGAAAAATACTGTCAGTGTTGGGGTAGGAACGATAATATCGTTGTCAGTTTGCAGGAGATTCGCTCGACTGCGTAAACTGATGATTCGCGTGAATGAGTGTCGTCAAACCACCAATTGAACTGGACAGGCTTTAGATCGTCGAGTAGTTGAACAGCCGATTGATGTACCGAAATCATCTATTAGATAACAGCCACGCGGAAACAATACTTCATAAGATGATAAAATACGACGTCAAATTTGAATAACTACAATAGTTCGGATGTGTTGTAATGTCACATCGAAGTAACATCATTTCGTATACTGACAATCGTACTGAACGTTCGTTTGGGCATTGTTTATGTAGCAATTGGATGTGAAGTAGCAAACAGTATCGTGGGGTTCGTGGAGAGTTTCAGAGGTCGTTTAGATATTTTCCAAACCCGTATTGCATGTGAATAAACCGAAGACGGAATTCAAGTGACTTTCGTACGATAAGGAAATCGAGCCATGATTTACCGTGTGAGATAACAGCAAATACAGAGCGCATAGTAAACATTAATTTAAATGGTAACCACCAATGTAACTAAAGTTTAGGTTTAGATAACATGATCGTTTCGTAAAAGAGTTTTCATTATGCGTTAAGTGACATATTAAATACGATGAATTGTCTAGTAAGGACATGGACTAAGATTGCTCGTGTACACATAATACGTTTTTCTACAGCGTGACGACTTAGGAGTCATAAATGTACATGGGTTCGACTAAAATTTGACGGCAGTGACAGAACGTATGACTACTCTAAGTGAAAATAGCCTCGAAATGTTATTAGACATCATAAACATTATACGAAATTATTTAACACAGTTATGAAACTCGCCTGGGTTACTCTTGCTCCCAGGTAATTGGAATTTGTTGATTAAATTCGTAGATTAACGAAGCGTTGTAGATTGAATTGGTATACGTCCAAATTTAATTTGAGCCAAACACGTAGCATTGCCCGGCGAAACAGTCTAAACAAGACCTAATATTGCAAAAAATTTATAATTCAGACTCACCGTAAATTTGTAGCATTCGTATCCTCTGATTCGCCATGGAACTCAGCAATTGGAAATTAGGCAGGCAGTGGTCAGGAAAGTAAAATATTCTAGTAGATAGTTTCTGATAGAAGTTAGTTGATAGTGATTAAGCAGAAAGATGAATTTAAAATCGACAATTAATTCGGTTATAACAAATGATTTCTAAGGTTTTTCCCAATGGTGGAATTCACACGTCCTTTAGGTTACATCTGATTGCTATCTATTGACCTTCTCATTCGGCTACTTCTGATTGGTTCACCATATCAGCTGATGCGAACGGTGAAATGTAGACGGTAACCTTGGCTTAGTGAATAAATTGCATCCCGTAAAAAACCGCCCACCGCGCGGCTTTGAAACAGCATGTAATATGTTTGCCTCGGAGTGAAATAAGATCTGCCTGGAATCCCCCAGTCTACTATGTACATTGGGCGATTCTCAAAATAAGATATACAAATAGCTATCTCCTGTTTCACATTTAAACTGTACAGAAATGTTTGTTAGTTATTCCCAGGATTTCAATCGACTATCCATACCAATACAGTGAAATAAAAAGGCACACTAAGAATGCATCTTATTTATTTAATTGAACACATAAACATTGGTACAACAAGGGACCAAATACACATGCGCCACACAATAACAATGAGGTCGTGAACAGATAGATAATGTAAAGCGCGTATAATAAAAAAGAATAACAATGAACAGAAATTAGTGCATTAGAGTGAGATAATAATAATGGAAGAAGCAGCTCAATTAGGAAAACTGCGACCAGAAGGAATTCTTTTAGTTAAAGAAGTTACGTTCACTTTTATGAATAAAGTTACTGGCTTCTATTCTGAGCCATAACGTCCTTAGCCACTAGGTTGTACCATCTCTAGGACTCTAACCAGGGAGTTGCAAAGGTCCAACAGAAGCCAGTTCTATACAGCTTTCTTTCATACCACCAAATCACGTCATACACTGACCATCTCACAAACTCTTCCAACCAGTCCCAGTGTCGGAAAATAATGCACGATGTGGAATTCTCTGGGACGACATTCGTAGTTTATGTGCAAGCTACTGAAGCCGGTGTTTGCAGATGGTGACATTAGTTGAACGATCGTCAGTATGTCCGAGCACACGATACCGAAACTCTGTACTACTAACATGGCGTTGCCACTGGATATCAGACAACGATGATCAAACATGGAGAGTCGCCTAATATCCTCAACTCGGAGAGGCCAAGTTTCACAAGCATAGAGCAAAGCTTCTTTCATCGGCGCGTTGTAGATCCGACCTTTTACAGCTAGACTAACACTACGAAGGTGCCATAGATGACCCAGATTGGCATAAGGCGCTCTGGCTTTCACTGTACGTGAATTGATCTCATCACTCACAAAGCTAACCAGATACACAAACTTCTCAACTACTTCCATCTACTCACTACCCAAAGTGAGTGCGGGGTCAGGTTCCTACTAGTCTCGTAAAAGTACTTTGCACTTTGAGGGTGCAAAACACATGTCATACGCATGGTCACTGATTGGGCATCATCGCACGGTACGACGATATTACCCTCATATTCAAGGTCAAGAATTCTTTCTCCAGGCAACAGACTCACACCACTATTACCTATATCCATCAGACTTGTTTTCAGTATGTCATAGACGACAAAATTGAAGAGGAAAGGTGAAATTGGGTAAAAAAGCGGTTACTGGTGTAAGAATCTGTCAATCTCAGTCGCAGAAGTAAGATAAATACTTCAGTTTAGTGAAGATGTGTTCATTAGATCTCACTCAGTGCTCATCAGTGCATTGAGGGAACACATGCTCAAATAATCAAATCCGGACTCGCACTCAAAAATTATCGATATATTTAACGAGGTAACTGACACATCTCCTGATGCAATAAGGAACAGTTTTGTGATTGAAGAAAAGGCCAACAAATTCTTCAGCAAGGTTGACTCTGGGCAGTGTTCAAATGTTCATTTATCGAATTCCTCCCATTCTAGTCATCCAGTCACGTCGAGTGAAATTCAAAATCATTGTGAGACAAATGTTTCGAATGAATCAAATTTTGACCAAATTTCTAGTGATGTCATATCAGATGCCATCTTAATGGTTCATTAGTTCTTAATGAAGTCTTTAATGAGTCTGAGAAAAATATTTCAAATGAATCAAATTCTGAGGACATCATAACAAATGTCGCTTGTTCTCACAATGTATTTGTTTCTAGTGAGCACCGCAGTCAATACGAAGCACAAATTCCCAATGGGTTCAAATCTAATTATAATCCTGATGGTCCCATATTCTCACAACTCATTCACTCTTATTCGGCGTGGGAAATGTTTCGAATAATTTGCAGCCTGATCACATTTCAGATGTTATTGTAGTAGACGTTAGATGCTCTCATACCTCAAATATCTCTACCCAATGCTATGATGAATCGATTGATATAACAATTGTTTGCGGAGCAGTCGCAAAAGCAGTGATCAAAAGTAATGTCGTTCATACAGTGGGGAAATTTAAATTTAGTCCCCAAGTCTGACAGTTCGGAGTTCGGGGTAAGGCTCCATGCTTGTGATAGTACAAATGAAGATTTATTTAGGATAAAAGCGGCTGAATCAGATAGTGGCTCAAAAGTTCATGCTCACATCAGAAAGCTTACGTCAAATGAGTATAAAATGCGTGTGAATTTCATCTCCCCAAAAATGTTAAATATGATCAATTTGCATAAAGCACTCAATGTTTCTTGGAAAACTGTATGATGGACAGTCATCGAATCTCAGTATTCGTTATAATTACTTACAAATACCCAACAAATCTGATGATATTTATTTTGTTTATTCGAACAAAGTGAATGTCACACACAAAAGAGTAAATCCAGTTCCAAAAGTTAGAAGTCAGTCCATCTTCAATATCCCTGTATGTAGAATGCAGCTACATACTGATCCTAATGAGTATGATGATGTGGAAACAAAGCGAGTCAATATGAATCACAAGTATTGTTACGGACAAGTCGAAATGTAAAATGGGCTCATTTTGGTTGTCTTCAAATTGTTGTTCGTTCATACAGGATTGTCACAAAAGTATGCGAATCAGTATTGGGCGGATGGATGACCTTAACCAAAGTGCCAGATCAAATGCCGCGCTACCCGCCTGATCGGTAGTTTCATCTAATCCTTAGTTTTTAATGTCTTTTTATTTAACAACAACTAAGTCCGTCTAATAATTCTGGAACAACTCCTACTGATATTTAAAAAAAAACAGACTTTTCTATAGTACACAAATTGTCAGACTTTGTTTTATAATTGATCATTTTTTAACGACGAATTTTTTGGTAATTTTATATCCTTTTCTAGTTGGTTTGATTATACCGCACTGGGTGTCCCAGTTAAAGGGACGCGTTTGCTTCCTATAAAACTACCCATACCATCAGAAAAGTCCTACAATATCCCTCCTCATTTAAGGTAAGAGTGTATATGGTGCAGTTAACACTATACAGATTTACACTGAGTGACCTTATTGATTGTGTTCAATCATGCAACCAGAAGTTGACATGTGTCATAGATCTGACCTATACAAAATATTACTCTACAAAGGTAACTTCCCTCGTTATTTACCACCTCAGTTCCTTCATGATAATAACATAAGTTACCATAAAATATATGTGGAAGGACATGCAGTCCCAAACTCAAAAACTGTTGAACAGCAAGTTTTTTCAAGTTCAGAATCTATGTTTTATAGGTTCATCGACCTGGTTAACAAGGAGCGTGAACAATCCCCAGGTTTGCTGTTATCTCTTTATACAACTTCATATTGTTGTTTTTCTGTGATATATTAGATTTCCAACAACTCACTGTGTTTGAATTTAATTGTAAACCCAGTTTATCTCGTGATATATGTTGCCTTCAACTTTCAAGACGGCTTGATGCAGTCTTACACAGTATCCTACATTATCCTTTTTTCGACCAAAAAATATCTGTATCTTGTCTCAAAATTTTTCTACTCGTTGGCACTAATAGCGTCTAAGGTTTGTTTCTCTGTGTTGTGCCTGTCAATTCCTAGCCGTCTTATCTTTTGACAAAGACTACAATAAATCGGTCACTCAAACCTTTCGAAACGCCTCATCCACCGTATGTGTATAATGATTGCAAGACAATCATTTTTCGGTGAGGCTATGATTCATTGACTTTTGAGTAGCGCTTTTGAGACCATAAATTATGGTGTCGCCGTCGGGTGTCAGTGTTTCTAGTTTCGCATAATTCTGGCGCATTTCATTTGTCAACAATAAAGGTAATAAAATTTTCCTGATAATTGAATTGCCTGTTGCAAGTGTTGGGTTTTAGTTTATTGAAAGAATATTTCATGATTGGTTCTTCCTCATCTATCCATAGGTCCCTTAGTGACTATCTTTCATCCTTCTCGTGGATGCGCATCTGTAACATTCCCTCGACTACTTATTTCAAGAGATCCGACAGTTTCCCTCGCGAAGTTCTAATATTGTAGCTTTTCTAATCGACTAGTTTGATATTATTTCGCCCCGTATTCGTTCCGTAATAATTAAGTGTACTTTGAAAATCAGTTTCTCCTATCATTTTATGTAGTTTAAATCACTCCTGCTAAAGGTGGCGTTGCTTATCATTTTCCATAGCTGTTATAAATAATCAACTACTTACTCATCTATATTTTTGTAAATTCGAGTGTTATAAATGTTCTAATTTTTATGTTTTTAGATGGCATAATTGCTGTACACTGCACACATGGCGTAAATCGAACGGGTTACTTAATATGCAGGTAATGTTTGCTACCATCCTACCTATTAGTCTCAAGATACCTTATCGATTTTATGAATATGAATCCTAAAGATGCTCTTAGAGGTAAGTTCTTTTTGTTATGGGAAGCGAATTTCACTGTTATGTAGAATTCGAATACGCACGCGGTCATCCTGTTGAAAGAAAAAATTATATTGAAGATTTGTTGAATTCCGTCTGTAAATTAAAGGTCTCAAACGTTGAAAAAAACAGAAGTGCGTGAATAAATGTACGTTAGTGGCATTATTTTATGTAATGCGTTGGCAATAATACACAAGCAGTCAGAACCTTCATGTTACTCCTAAAACTCCTGTTTGTTTTATTGTGATGTATAAAATAGTTATTTTCTCTATCCTTTGCCTTTCATGAAACAAGATGGAGAAAAATCTTGATAGCATCGTAAGGGAATAAAATCATTACTATAGCTAGTAAAAATACTTCCTAGAAATGCAAAATAATGAACTCAAGTGTGTTTTTGATGAAAACTTAATTTAATCGTTGAGTACCGAGCCTCCGAATCTTGTAGATAGTTACTACAATAAACAATAATAACGAGTGCACTAAAATCGGCAAAATTTTCTCGCATACCTTACCTGGTAGACCTCAGTTCAATCATTTCATGAAAGTCAAAAAATGTGCACTCTACTTTTATAAAGATACAAGCAGATTTAAAGCATTCCTTCACTCCCACCATATGTAATTGACGGTTATGCACATTTACTACTACAGGTGCTCACTTTATAATGTTACAGATCATAATAGCCCAAACATTACAACAATATCAATAAATAATGGCTTGAATCAGGGCTTCAAACTTAAAATAATATAGAAACTTGATTTTCAATAATGATTAAAATGAAAACGCGCTTCCGTGGAATTTTGTCTATGCTCGTTAAAATGACGAGTCTTATTTCCAAACCAGTGACCACAAATTATTAATACTTCTTGTTCAGATATGCTTTATTTCACCAAAACATTCAAGGAACAATCTATGCTGATAGATTTTCCAGAAATGTTCAAAAGTTCCAACCAAAGGCCCCCAAATGCCCTGGTACGGCCGAGAGTGGAGAGAGTCACCTCTCCCTCTCGAAATGCTCTCATATGGCCAGCGAATATATAACCTCTGCCAGGGAAGTCCTACTCACTGCCTTCTCGTGGCGGGGGTGTTGTTCACAAAAGTGAGAGGACGAAAAGCGAATGTCCGGCGCTTTAACCAGGTTGGTGGATGTGGAGGATCCGCCTAGGGGAGTTGGAAAACCCTGATTCCAAACCAATAGTGCACATGGGCTCCAGTATCCTAAAGGAACGAATGGCGTATGAACCAACTGTTGGTCACCGGCTACCATGGGACTGCATCTCCTCACGATGCTCCACTGCCTTGTGGATCAGACATTCAGGTCAAAGGCTCCGGGTGTGGCCCCCTAAGAAAACCACCTGCTTCAGTCTGGGCACCTGGGCAGTATCTCAGCCCTCACACAAATCGAACGAGATTTGTGAGGCGCATATTTATCTGGTGCTTCCTTGTACCAATATTTATGTGTTTAAATAAATAAATAAAATCCAACCAAACAGATTTGAAATTCTTTTTACTAATATGTGGGGCTTATTCATTCAGTAAAGGCTGAATCTATTACATGATTGGTTGTAAATATGCTGTCTAAAACAATCAGATAGCTGACAAACACTTGAAATGCATTGCAGATAATCAAATGGCGTATGAACCTATTGTTTGTCACCGGTTACCCTGGGTCTGCATCTCCTAACGTCGCTCCACTGCCTTGTGGATTAGACCTTCAGATCAAAGACTTAATGAATGACCCTCTAAAAAACCACCCAGGCATTATCCCATTGAAGTACTACAAATTCGCTCTTCATCTGTTGCTTTGAAAAGCTTGTCTTACGTGCGATTACTTAAAGACTTGTAGCATCTTTATCCCGTTTTGCTGGCGTTGGTGTCGCGTCAGACACTAAAGCCAATCAAATGAGATTGGTGAGGCGCATATTTATCTGGTGCTTCCTTGTACCAATATTTATGTGTTTAAATAAATAAATAATAATAATAGAGCTAAGGTGGCACTAGTCTATTGGATTGCCATTAGCAGCCGGGTGTGTGTTGTTAGGTTAAAAGGCGTCATCAAAGTGCGAAGTCTGTGTGAGAAACGATGCCTTTTCGTTATCTCCACACGTCTGCATGGTGATTTTTCCACCTTTCATAACAAAATTTTTGATGTTATTATTCTATTCATAATACAAATGGGCACATTTTACATTTCGACTTGTCCGTAACAATACTTGTGATTCATATTGACTCGCTTTGTTTCCACATCATCATACTCATTAGGATCAGTATGTAGCTGCATTCTACATACAGGGATATTGAAGATGGACTGACTTCTAATTTTTGGAACAGGACTTACTCTTTTGTATGTGACATTCACTTTGTCCGAATAAACAAAATAAATATCATCAGATTTGTTGGGTACTTACTTACTTACTTACGCCTGTTACTCCCAATGGAGCATAGGCCGCCGACCAGCTTTCTCCAACTCATTCTGTCCTGGACCTTCTTTTCTAGTTCTATCCAGTTCTTGTTCATTCTTCTCATGTCTGTCTCGGCGTAATGTGTTCTTTGGTCTTCCTCTTCTCCTTTGACCTTCAGGATTCCATGTGAGGGCTTGTCTTGTGACGCAATTAGGTGATTTGCTCAAGGTGTGCCCAATCCACTTTCAGCGCTTCTTCCTGATTTCCTCCTCTGCTGGAATCTGGTTTGTTCTCTCCCACAGTAACTTGTTGCTGATAGTGTCTGGCCATCTGATCCGAAGTATCTTGCGTAGACAGCTGTTAATAAACACTTGTATTTTCTGGATAATGGCTTTCGTAGTTCTCAACGTCTCCGCCCCATACAGTAGAACTGTCTTCACATTTGTATTGAAAATTCTAACCTTGGTGTTGGTTGACAATTGTTTTGAGCTCCAGATGTTTTTCAGTTGTAAGTATGCTGCTCTTGCTTTGCCGATCCGCGCCCTAACATCTGCATCTGATCCACCGTGTTCATCAATGATGCTGCCCAGATATGTAAAGGTTTCCACATCCTCCAAAGCTTCTCCGTCAAGTGTAATTTGATTGGTGCATATTGTATTGTATCGAAGAGTCTTGCATTTCTCTTTGTTTATATTGAAACCTACTGCTGCTGAGGCTGCTGCTACACTGGTCGTTTTCTCCTGCATTTGTTGTTGCGTTTGTGATAGAAGAGCCAGATCATCCGCGAAGTCTAAATCGTCAAGCTGCATCCTGCCTGTCCACTGTATCCCGTGATTTCCTCCAGATGTTGACGTCTTCATGATCCAGTCGATGACCAGGAGAAAGAGAAAGGGTGAGAGTAAGCAACCTTGCCTAACACCGGTCTTTACTTGAAACGAGTCGGCGAGTTGTCCTCCGTGGACGATTTGGCAGTTTAGTCCATCATAGGAGTTCCGTATGATATTGACTATCTTCTCAGGCACGCCGTAGTGTTGAAGAAGCTTCCATAGTGTCGTCCTGTCCACGCTATCAAATGCCTTCTCGTAGTCGATGAAGTTGATGTAGAGTGATGAATTCCATTCGATTGATTGTTCCACAATGATCCGCAGAGTTGCGATTTGATCTGTGCACGATCTATCCTTACGAAATCCAGCTTGTTGATCTCGAAGTTGGGCGTCCACGGAATCCTTCATCCTGTTTAACAATACTCGGTTGAAGACTTTTCCTGGTATTGAGAGAAGATTGATGCCCCTGTAGTTGTCGCACTTGCTGAGATCGCCTTTCTTTGGTATCTTGATCAGAAGTCATTTTTGAAACGATTGCCTCCTTGATACCTCTCCAGTTGCTCTCTATGGTAGTTCCCTCTCCATTGAGTAGATCATGAAAGGCGTGGAACCTGTTGCTTAGGGCTATGCTGAATTTGTTGAGTTTGTCAGCATCTCGAAGAAAGGCCGTATTAAACTTTTGTGATGTTGTCCGCACCGTTGTCCAGTGCTTCTTGAGTTTTAGTTTCATCTTGGCGACCAGCAAATGATGATCGGATGCTATATCAGCTCCTCTCCTGGTTCTCACATCCTCTATCGTCCTCCTGAACTTTTTGTTGATGCAGATATGGTCGATTTGATTCTGTGTAGTGTGATTCGGTGAAATCCAAGTGGCTTTGTGTATGTTTTTGTGTGGGAATATGGTGCCACCTATGACCAGTTTATTGAAGGCACATAGGTTTGCAAATCTCTCACCATTTTCGTTCCTTTCTCCCAGTTCATGTTATCCCATGACATCTTCGTATCCGCCCCCAAATGCCCTGGTACGGCCGAGAGTGGGGAGAGTCTGATCTCCCTCTCGAAATGCTCTCATATGGCCAGCGAATATATAACCTCTGCCAGGGAAGTCCTACTCACTGCCTTCTCGTGGCGGGGGTGTTGTTCACAAAAGTGAGAGGACGAAAAGCGAATGTCCGGCGCTTTAACCAGGTTGGTGGATGTGGAGGATCCGCCTAGGGGAGTTGGAAAACCCTGATTCCAAACCAATAGTGCACATGGGCTCCAGTATCCTAAAGGAACGAATGGCGTATGAACCAACTGTTGGTCACCGGCTACCATGGGACTGCATCTCCTCACGATGCTCCACTGCCTTGTGGATCAGACATTCAGGTCAAAGGCTCCGGGTGTGGCCCCCTAAGAAAACCACCTGCTTCAGTCTGGGCACCTGGGCAGTATCTCAGCCCTCACACAAATTGAACGAGATTTGTGAGGCGCATATTTATCTGGTGCTTCCTTGTACCAATATTTATGTGTTTAAATAAATAAATAAAATCCAACCAAACAGATTTGAAATTCTTTTTACTAATATGTGGGGCTTATTCATTCAGTAAAGGCTGAATCTATTACATGATTGGTTGTAAATATGCTGTCTAAAACAATCAGATAGCTGACAAACACTTGAAATGCATTGCAGATAATCAAATGGCGTATGAACCTATTGTTTGTCACCGGTTACCCTGGGTCTGCATCTCCTAACGTCGCTCCACTGCCTTGTGGATTAGACCTTCAGATCAAAGACTTAATGAATGACCCTCTAAAAAACCACCCAGGCATTATCCCATTGAAGTACTACAAATTCGCTCTTCATCTGTTGCTTTGAAAAGCTTGTCTTACGTGCGATTACTTAAAGACTTGTAGCATCTTTATCCCGTTTTGCTGG